AGGCTGACGCCACAGCACTCACTCTACTCTGGGCAACAAAGCGAGACTCTGTCTCAAAAAAAAAAAAAAAGAGATGGGGGTATGTCTGTGCTGCCCAGCTGGTCTCAAACTCTAGCCTCTAGCCTCAGCCTCCTGAGTAGCAAGGACTATAGGCATGCCCAGCTAACCGTGAATGTTCTTAATAGCATCTAGAATGGTGAATCCTTTCAGAAGGTTTTCAGTTAACTTTGCCCAAATCCATCAGAGGAATCACCTACAGCAGTTATATAGCCTTATGAAATATATTTCTTAAATAATAATAAGACTTGAAAGTCATAATTACTCCTTGATCCCTGGGCTACAGAATGGATATTTTGTTAGCAGGCATGAAAAGATCTCCTTGTACATCTCCATCAAGTGCATTGTCAATTGTCAGTGAGCAGTAGGTCTCAAGAGTGGGCTTAAAATATTGTTAACCATGCTATAAACAGATGTACAGTCATCCAGGCTTTGCTGTTCCTGTTTATAGAGTGCAGGCAAAGTGGCAAAGTGGATTTGGCATAATTCGATTTTCAGTATGGTAAACGAGCATTGGCTTCAACTTAAAGTCACCAGCTGCATTAGTCCCTGACAAGAGAGTCAGCCTGTCCTTTGAAACTTTTTTTTTGAGACAGAGTCTTGCTTTGTTGCCCAGGCTAGAGTGAGTGCCATGGCGTCAGCCTACCTCACAGCAACCTCAAATTCCTGGGCTCAAGCAATCCTTCTGCCTCAGCCTCCCGAGCAGCTGGGACTACAGGTATCACCACCGTGCCCGGCTAATTTTTTCTATATATATTAGTTGGCCAATTAATTTCTATTTATAGTAGAGATGGAGTCTTGCTCTTGCTCAGGCTGGTTTCGAACTCCTGACCTCAAGGAATCTGCCCGCCTCAGCCTCCTAGAGTGCTAGGATTACAGGCGTGAGCCACTGCACCTGGCCTCCTGTGAAGCCAGGCATTGACTTCTCTCTAGCTATGAAAATCCTAAATAGCACCTCCTTTATATATAAGGCTATTTCATCTACATAGAAAATCTGTTGTTTACTGTAGCTACCTTTATCAGTTATCTCAGATCTTCTAGGTAGCTTGCTATAGCTTCACTTGCTACTTTACCTTGTACTTTCATGTTGTGGAGACAGCTTCTTTTCTTGAACCTCATGGACCAACCTCTGCTAGCTTCAAACTTTTTCTACAGCTTCCTCACCTCTTTCAGCTTTTACAGAATTGAAATGTGTTAGAGCCTTGCTCTGGATTAGGCTCTGGCTTAAGGGAATGTCGTGACTGGTTTGATCTTCTATACAGATCACTTAGACTTTCTGTTTATCAGCAATAAGACTGTTTTGCTTTCTTATCATTTGTGCTTTCACTGGAGTAGCACTTTGAATTTCCTTCAAGAACTTATTCTTTTCATTCATACCTTGGCTAACCATTTTGGTGCAAGAAGCCTAGCTTTGACCTCTCAGCATTTGACATGCCTTTCTCACTAAGCTTAATCATTTCTAGTTTTTGATTTAAAGTGAGACCTGTGACTCTTCCTTTTACTTGAACACTTAGACGCCATTGTAAGATTATTAACTGGGCTAAATTTCATTGTAGTGTCTCAGGAAATAGAGAAGCTCAATGAGGAGGAGACTGGGGAACAGCCAGTCAGTGGAGCAGTCAGAACACATACATTTATTATTGCCGTCATATATGGATGTGGTTAGTGGCATCCCAATACAATTACAATAGTAACATCAAAGATCACTGATCACAGATCATCACAACAGATATAATAATAATAAAGTTTGAAATACTATGAGAATTACCAAAATGTGACAGAGACAAAAAGTGAGCACATGCTGTTGGAAAAATGGCACCGACAGATGTTGCCACAAACCTTCAATTTGTTAAAAAAAAAAAATGCTGTATCTGTGAAGCACAATAAAGTGAAGCTCAATAAAATGAGGCATGCTTATACTGTATAAAGTACACACAGATGCTGCCTTTATTTTGAGGTAGGGATAATTAGCTGAAGGACTTTTTACCTGGGTCCTTCTCAGTTCAGATGATCTGTCCTCACTCAGTTTTAACATTCCACTGAGATAAATAGAGATCCTTGAAGCCATGGGTCTTCTAAGAGAGTTATAACTGGGATATTGTCACTTCTGACATCACTCTGACCTAAGGAAGAAACATCCTTCAGCTAACTAATTGAGGTCTGATAACCTGTAGTTTTCTCTGAAGCTTCTTTACAGTATTTAGCATACTTATAGTAATTTAAATAATTATCATTGGTCTATTTTCTCTCTAAACTTTACTGGAGCAGTCTGTTTTGTTCATCACTAAATTCCCAGTACCTAGCATATAGGTGCTCAAATATTTGTTGGCATATTAACCCACATTATTTCACATAGCTAGGATGTGGCTCCTATAAAATTTAGAGAGCCATGTGTCAGCTTGGACTTCCTCATAATGTGGTGGCCAGGTTCCAAGAGTGAGTGTCTCAGGAGAGCAAGGCAGAATTGCATGGCATTTTATGATCTAGTTTTGGAAATCGTATACTGTTTGTTACTTCTGTCATATTTTATTGGTCAAGGTAGTCACAAAGTTCTTTCCAAATTCAAGGTAAAGGAATACGGATTTTACAACTTGATGGAAGAGTGTCATGGTCACATAAGAAGAGGATGTGAAATGGGAGATCTTGTATTGGCTGTCTTTGAAAAAGAATCTGTTAAAGTTTGTAGTTTTCATCACATGCCCCAAGTAAAGTGCAGTGGTGTCATTGTAGCTCACTGCAACCTCAAACTCCTGGGCTCAAGCTATCCTCCTGCCTCAGCCTCCTAAGTAGCTGGGACTACAGGAATGGGCCATGACACCAGACTAATTTTTCTAGTTTTAGTAGAGAGGGGATTTCACTCTTGCTCAGGCTGGTCTTGAATTCCTGAGCTGAAGCAATCCTCCCACCTTGGCCTCCCAGAGTGCTAGGATTTATAGGCATGAGCAGCTACACCCAGCCCCTATTTTCCTCCTTATTATGTTCATATTTTCCTTTAAATCCTTGAGTGTATTTAAGTTAGCTATTGTTTGCTAATTCTCTTATCCATGACATTTCTGGGTCTGTCTTTTTTTTTTTAAATTTTGTTTCAGACTATAGCAAGAGAGATCTGGGTCTGTTTCTATTAATAGATCCCCCCCACCCCCCTATACACACCCCAATTGTAGATATTTTTCTGCTTCACATATCTAGTAGTTTTTTATTACATACTAGAGTATTGCCTCATGAATGCTATTGTTGAGTGTCTGGTTATTGTTGTCTTTAAAGAATACTGAATTTTGTTTTGGCCGGAAGTTACACTAATCAGCTTGATACTTTCAAAGCTTGCTTTTAAGCTTTTTTTAAAAAAAAAAAAAAAAAAAGCTTTGTTAAGGCAGATTTGGAATAGTTTTTGCTCTAGGGCTAGTTTAGTTCTACTACTAAAGGATGATTCTTCATAGAACTCTACTCAATGTCCCTGGTATTCAAGGTCATCAGTCTACTCTGGCTAGTGGGAACTCAAATATCTCCCAGTGTGTGTGAGCTCTGGGAATTGTTTAGCTTGCAATTCCAGGGTAGTTTCCTTGCCTGGCTCATGGGGTTTCACTTAACATGTGTAATATTCAGTAATGGATTTGTAGGGATCCCTATGCAGATTTCTGGAGGTCTTTCCCAGCCACCTCAGATTCCCCAAATTCCAATCTCAATCTACTCTATTCATCAAAACTGCAATGCTCTACTTGGGTATACATTGTGGTCTGGAAAGTGCTTTCAGGCAGAAAGCTGAGGTGATCACAAGACTCACCTCATTTGTTGCCCTTTTCTCAGGGATTTCAGTTATGTACTGCCTATTATCTGATATTTTTTTCCTGTATGTTTGATCCAGTTTTCTGGTAGTGTATGGTGAGAGAGAAAGTTCTGTACTAGTACTGCAAGTCTAAGTATGAATTTTACATCCAGGATTTTGTTCTTTTAAGCACTTAAAGTACAACTTAGTTTCCAAATGTAAAATGAAATGCGGTAAACTTTGAGCTAGAATTAATAATTTGTGTTCAAGTTTCAGACCTACGTCCAATTTGCTACATGAATATTGGCAAATCTCACTTTTTCTTTGGCTGTTACAGCTAAATTGAGTATAACTCTTCTCTGTACTTCTCAGGCATTCCGTAACAAGCAAATGAAGTAAAACAAATCACACTAAATTGATGAGGTTTTATTTATAGATAGTTGACAGAACTCATGTCCTAAACTTCCCTTGCCTATCTCCCAGTACCACACTGTGAAATATAAAAGGGCCTGAGATGAAAGTGTGGCAAGACACCATTGCTTCTCCTCTTAATAACAGTCAACTGTTACTAAATGCTTTCTATGTGCCAGGAACTGTGTGTAAGTCTTGTAAGTGAATTCACTAAATTTGCATAACTGCCATATGGGAGAGGTACTATTACTGTCCTGATTCCACACATGAGAATAGGCAGAGATTAAGCAATTTGCAGATCATACAACTAATAAGTGGCAGTGGCAGAATTGGGGTTGATTTGAACCCTAGCTGTGTGGCTCTGGAGCCATGCTTTTAACCACTGTGTGACTATTTGAAAACTACTGAAAATGCATCAACTGCTGCTGATGTAGAATCACTAATTAACCTTAAATATAAAGGAAAGCACATCATCTCTGGAATCCCTTTAACAGATGTTGCTTGTTTGGTCAGCCTGATTTCCACAGGGAAGCAGAAAGACTGGGCTATAGTTAGAATATGTGATTCCTTAACAAACAAACAACACTGTCCGGATGGCAGGAAATGGAAGATGATGTCGAGTACAAACTACCTGAAAAATAGAATATAACTGGAGTCCAGAGGGTCCAGTGTAGTTCCAAGAGGGTCACTGGTGTTTATTGAATCTCTCCTGTCTGGCACCTCTTCTAATATTAATAGGTTCTATTATTCTTTTTCCCCCCCTTCTCAGACACATTTAATCAAACCAGGCACCAAAATGCTAACACTCTTTCCTGGAGAAAGAAAGGCTAATCTTTCTTTTACTCAAAGAAGAACTCCACCTACAAGTGTTCAACAGAGAAGCATAGCTTCCTTCTTCACCCTGCAGCCAGGTATGGTGACCTGTCTGGGAATACTCCCAGTCTGGGAATACTTCATCCTCCAAGGAGCAAAAAAGGACTATGTTTACTTTTCCATATTGGAACATTATGAGACATAGTCAAAGTAGTGCATTGTGTTAAACCTAACTGACCTGTTGGAAGAGGTTATAAAACATAAGAAATCGCCATTTGAAAACCAATGTATACATACTTTTACAAACACACTTTTCTGGTTCCATTTTGCTCAGCTTAATTATTAAATATTTGTATTCGCTGACAGAGCAGTGAGGAAAGGTGTACTTGGGAGTTGACCTGCCATTAGGTATATCTTGAGTTGGCCACAATGAATAATTTATATAAGGTTAATTGATAATTATTATTTCTGTATGAAGCTTCTCAAATTAGTAAAAGGCTCAAAGCTGCTTTTTTCTTAGAAAGGTTGGCATAAAGTTGAGTTTTGTCTCATCCTTTGGCAGGTTCTTCACTTGCATGTCCTTGTTCAGGGAAGCAGCTGCCTCTGAACAGGCTGGGCCTTCCAGAGCCAGTTCCTGCCAGTTGGAGAGTGCTGGAAGGAGTGTTTCGCATAAACCTGCAAATGCACTCCAACTCCCCTAAATAAAAACTTAAACACCCTTTTTGCTTTATGTAACAAAGACAGATTTTTCTCAAAAACACTTTTTCTACTTAAAGATTCTGGTATATTTTATAGTCTACATTGAATTCTTAGGCAAAGTTGAAAATTCTCACAAAACACATAGTTTCTGCAGTATAATGCTTGTTGGAAAAAGAAAGAGAAAATCAGTTATTCTGCTTTGTTTGTAATTAGATCTTGGTATAATCTGGGAGAATTGGGGATTCCATGTCATTCATCCTTAAGGCAGAAGAGGATCCATTCCATGCCTGATAAAGTGGACAGGCTAGACACTAGTAGTTGGTTTATTATTGTCCTTCCTACTGGTTGACTTAGCATCCTAATTGTCTTCACTGCCTTTCCCATGAAACTCGTGGGAAGTAGGGAACCTACATCCTTCACAGTCACCGGAAAGTTTCTCAGAGTTGGATAATGTGATCTTTGAGACCTTACAAAACTAGTGTGTGTTGAGCATGCTTTTTTTTTTTTCTGATCCTCCCCTCCCACAGCATGCTTCATTAAGGGTAATATCCAGGAGTATATATTTGGTCAGGATAACTATTTAGTAGAAACCACATTTAAATAAAAAATAAAAGCAAAACTGATGTGTCTTATGTTAAACTCCACAAATGAAAACTCAGCTGGAAAAGTAGGCTATAGTCTGATTTGTATGCCATGTTTGACTTTATTAGATAGTCATGGGAAGGGAAGCATTCATATATTTGAGTAGGGGAATAGAAGAGCTGTGTTTTAGAAGATCATTTAGGAGAGAACAGTAAGATTGAAAAGCAGGAGGATCAGCTAAAAAGTTTATGTGAAGAGTCTGAGTAAGACTCTTGCACTAGGTAGTAATAGTCGCTGAGACCAATTTCAGAAAAAGTCAACTAAATCCTGCTTGTTCAGGGGATGATCTTCCTACAGAATAACAGTTATTCATTCCTGTTTTACTAGGAAAGACAAATGGTGATGACCAGAGGAGTGTTTCATCTCATAGAGAAAGTCAGATCAACAAGGAGTCTAAGAAAGATGCAGCCCAGCTAGACCATTTGATCCAAGGCTTAGAGGATGGTCGCACGGCACCTCCTTTAGCCACTTCAACCCCTGCAGACATCCAGGAATCTGGACTTTCTCCTCAGTCCCTCCAGACTTCTGGCCACCACAGAATGGGAACCCCATTTTTGTCTGTATTATCTTTGCTCCAGCCTGATAGCCTAGATTGTGCTGGAGAGAGTAATGCCTCACTGGCTTTTTCCTTCACCCAGGACTTAGAAAGTTCTTGTTTGCTGGACCAAAAGGAGGGAGAGAGGGATTCTGCCAGGAAAAGGGAATGGCCTCATGGATCTAAAAATAAGTATCAGAGCATGGAGAAACACATCAAACCACCTAGGGACAAATGCTGTCAGCCCTTGGACAAGACTAAGTTGGAAAGGAAGGAGTCTGCCAAAGAAAAGCGACAGGCCCCTGTCCTTCAAACTTACAGGGAATCCTGGAATGGAAAAAACACAGAATCAGTGAAACAAAACCCTTGTCCAGTGAAACAAAAACCTTCTGTGTTTTCCTGGGATGGTGAAAAGGACAAGGACTCCTGGAGTCAGCTTTTCACTGAAGATACTCAAGGCCAACGAGTCATTGCCCACAGCCCTAGAACTCCTTTCCAAGAGGTAACCAATAACTGGAATCGGGGCTTAGGGCAGTTTCCTAACAGCCCTTGGCCTCAGTATCAGCATGGGCCGACACAGTTAAATCTGCAGTCTGATTCCCTCTTTACCCAGGACTCTGAAGGTAACCAAGTTATCAGGCACCAATTCTAAATGTTTTAATGAGTTGTTAAAAGTACCTTGAAATGGGAGATATGAAGGGAATTATCTTATAGTTGGGGATGGGGGGGGTAGTAGAGAAAGTTTATTTAGGTGGGAAAGAGGGATGGGATGAAGCTGTTATTGAGCATTTTGTCTGTGTAAATAAAGCAGGTGGTGCCATTGTCAAGACAGTGTGATTGGCATGATGGCTTTTCCTTAAGAAGGTGACTAGTAAATTCCCCAAAGGAGTCTGATGAGCGCTGAGAAGGTAGGGTGGGTATTTATCCCTCCACTGAAGAGCTTGTTACTCAGCCTGCACAGCCACCTCTTTGCTCTTTCAGTTGCCTGGCTGGGACTTTGCTTCTTGTGTATGTGTTCTTTTAATCTCTGGTTGTAATCTTACCCACTCAACCTGTGCTTGGGAGGATTATCCCTGACCTCTTTTTGAATAAGGCAAATCTCCCCACAACCCAGGTGTGTGGGAGTAAGTAGAGAGAGGCAGAATGGTAGTGGTTATTTTATTTTTGTGGTAACTGTATAGCATTTTAAATTTATGTACTCTGTTTAAATCTCTCTCCCTAAGTTACTCTTTTCCCACAAGGTGGAAGGGAATCCCCTTTTTAAAACTATGATTCTAGGTAAATGTTTCCAAAGCTGGCTCTAGTGATAATTAAAACATTACCGATTTTATTTTTGAAAAAATAACATTTTAATAGTATATGTTGTCATTGCCCTGGGTCTGATCTGAACATGAGTCTGCTTTTACCTATGTTCTATCAAAGGCATTATCCTTGGCAGTTTCTCACGTTGCAGGGGCAGTTTCTCACGTTGCAGGTGTGGTATCTAAGAGGCTTAAAAAACCTCTAGGTGGCAAATTTGCAGGTTATAGGATGGAACTTTTTTTTTTTTTTTTAAGAGTTTAGGGTAAAATCTCTACAGAAAGGGGAAAGGAAGAAACCCCTTAGGGCAGTTTCCTCTTACAAGGTCAGAACCTTACAAGGAAAGAAGGGAAACCAGAGCCTGTTTAAAAAAGTTTCTAAAATTAAGAGGAATCCTATATCCCCAAGGGATACTGGGTAATCACAACTCAAGAGATGGACACAGCATATGCATTATCTCTCCAAATCCTTTCTTTAATGTCAGGTAGTACTTCAACCCAAACACACACAGTATACATATACTATAGAGAAAGGGACCTGAGGGCATCTGAGTCATGCATGGTGTGGTAGGTACAAACCTTGGCCCAGCCCAGAGAAGCAGTCAGGGGCCTGGAAGAAAGATGGTATGTTCTTTCCCCTCCCTGTTTCTCTCTCCTATCAGGTTTAAACTGAAGTCCATGGAAGAGAAAGTTTTTAATCAGTGGAACCGATGAGACCCCAAGGCCTTGGAGGGTAAATTTGGTTGTTCAGTATTATAAAATATGTTTAAGAACAAAACAGCCCAGGCCTCCCAGCGCAGCCCAAGTGTTAGCTGGTTCAGCGGCCCAACCTCTACATCTAGACAGGGAAGGGGAGAGGGTGATTGCAGGGCATTGGTGTAGGTTTATGATGGAGCAGCATAAGATTTTCCCTGTCCTGTGAACAGCTTTATCCTGCTCTGCTGTAAGGAAGCCACTGAGTGAGTGACAGCTGGGCACAAGTGTCCGATGAGACCAGTTATGGGGTCTATTGCAGTGAAGTCATTCATTTAGGACCTATTTTCACACAGGGATGAGGAAAAACCAGAAACTTCTGTCTTACCCTTTAAAATTGAGACACTCCATTCTACACAATTACCTGTAATAAATCACAGGCCTTAGCTTCTGCTAGGCTTTGAAGTATGGGAAACATATAATCCAGCTCTTCTCTTTCAGTCCAAGCTCTAGCTTGTCAGTAAGACTGTTGCAGAAGATTTCTCATTGAGAGGCAGAAACATCTGCGGTGAGGAAGGCAGCTATTAAAGGAATTCCAGGAGCATGAGACTGAGTTTGCAGGGCCGAGTGTTGTCAGTTTCCTTTTCTACTGGTATCTTCTTCCTTCAGAGCAAACTTCCTCCTTAGGACCTCAGAGATAAGCACAGCAGGGTCTTCCTCTTTCAATAAACTCCGGTTCCTGGAGACACAATAATAATAGCTTATCTTTATTGAGTACTTACTCTGTCCTGGGCAGTTTTATGAGTCTTTGCATACATTATCTCACTGAATCCTTACAACAGTCTTAGGAGGTAGGTGCTATTACAATTCCCTTTTACAGATGAGGAAACCAAAACACAGAGGGTATACAATTTGCCCAAAATCACTAGTCACTCAGCAAGTAAATGGTGAATCCAGAGTTTGAAACCAAACTAGCTGGTTCCACGTCTCCTCTCTTAACTAAAATGCCTTACTGTTTTTGGAAATGGCTATAAGGCATGGGCAAAGTAAATGACCATCAATCTGTTAAGAGTTGGTCTCTGATAGCTAAGCTTTTGCCCCTATCTTAGTAACATTTCCCTTGTCAGCAGGAGAGGTGACTGATGACTCTCCATTCTGACCCTTAATAGTTCTGGGGAAAATGTATGCTAAGGATTTCCTACTACCCTCTCTCCCGCTCAGGGGAGCTGAAAGATTTTTTAAATAAGAGATCCAGAATTATAGCAAAATATTCAGAACAATAAGGAACTCATGGGAAGAAAACTCTATGGGGGTAGTCTCAAATTACCTGATACACCATATGTAAGAGGGTCATGGACACCTGTAAAATAGATGCTTGAAATTCTAGTGAACTTACATACATACATCCCCATGAAGGTGTTTTACTGGTCATTAAGCAAGATATAAGGCCAAGATTGTCTATTAAACCTTGAAAGCAAAAACACGAGGAGTTGCTTTCAGTCTGTTACATTTCTGATTCTTGCTGACTGGGCTACTTTCCCATTCTTAGTCCATCAACCCAGCTCCTTCCAGTTCCAGGACATAAGTGAGAAGAAGGGATTGGCAACAAGGGTCTTGGATATAATTTGGTCCAAGAGGCTAGTAAGAAGAAGTTTGAGTGTCAATCTGTAAAACATCATGACTTGGAAGAAAATTCAGGGAAGACTAGAGAAAAGCAGCAGCAACTGAGTTTGGGAATGTGGGAGACCAAAGAGCTACAGGTCAGTAGGACAACCTGGTTACAGCCAGAGAAAGAAGGTAAGAGTGACTTCCTAAGGGAGGTAGCCACTTAGCCTGATCTAGTTTTCAGTGGGAAACGGGGCCCAGGAAACAAAAACGGATCCTTGCACAGGGTACGTAATGTTCCCTTCAATAGGAACACTTCAACTCAGGAGAAAATTTTCACCTCCCAGTCCCTAGAAGGGCTTTATATCTGTATTAACAAACACACTGGCCATCAAGGTCTAGATCTCAAACTTAAATGCCCAAACCTACATTTGAACAAGCTCCTCTAGTCACACTTGGAGAAACACTGTGCAAGGGGGTGACTCTCAGGCTTCTCTGCTAAATGAGTTTTTCAAGGTAAGTATTACCCAAATTCCCTCATATGCCATCAGAAAAATCTAAAGCTTCACTCCTTGGGAATTCTGTTTTAATAAGTTTAAGGTGTATTTTTAACAAATCTGAGCAATTGTGATAAGCAGCTAGGTTTAGGAACTACCCATGAGTCTCAAAAGCCTTGCTCTCAAATCCTTGAATTTGCAGGGTTGGTTTGTATAAATGGACCACTGTATTTTAAAGCAGACAGAAACTCCCAACTTTATGAAATTCTCCTTCTACGAATAGTCTTACCAATTTGAGATACTAAAACACATGTCATGCAACACCCTACTCTGAAAGATGGAACATGGGGACACTGTCACCAGCAGTATGAGAACTGAAGCGGTAAAGCCACCTGAGGGCAAAAGTTGGACTGGATGAATCTTCTTGTAAAATCCTTACTAATCTAATATTTGGTTGGGGTGACCTAACTCAACCAATGTAAAATGTTGCTCTTTCCTCAAAGCGGGGCCCCAGGCACTAGCAGCAGGTAGTCAGCAAGCTTTGAGAATGAGGTTACATGGCTACTACTGAGGACCTACTACGGAAGTATGTTGTATTAGATCACTGGCCACAGGCAACTTAAAGAATAAATAGATCACCAGACCGCATCAAATACTTACAGATCTTGGCTCTGTTTCATCCGGTGAAAGTCCTTCAGGATACCCATCATGTCTGCAAAGCTGCTGGCTTTGGACAGAGAGATGCAGTCATCCTCTTCAGACGAGCTGCAGGTAGTTTTGTGTTCTGGTTTGCAACATTCAGGGCTGGCAGAACAAAGCAGGGGGACTGATGGAAGCTCAGGTACCTCTACCTCTGTCTCCTCGGTGATGTCACTAATGACAAAGGAAGTTGTAGAGTGGAATGAGGATCCAAAACAAGGTAAGGGAGAAGAGACATTTGAACTTCCTGGAGATAAGAAATCTGGCGTTAATGAAGCCGAAGCTGAAAGAGAAAACAATAGGTATGGATGGACATTGGGACTAGAATACAGTAGCAATATCTTCTCCCCACAGCACTATCTACTAAATATTTATTTTCTGGGCTGATACCATGACAATTTGCAACAGCCAGGATAGCATCTGTAGCCACTACACTTCTCACTCAGGGGCTCAGAAAGATACAGAAACACTGGACTTTTCCAGTGTTCCAGGAGGGCAGAAAAAAAAACAGTCCATAAAGGCCTTGGCTCCTAAAAGCTCCCATTCCACAGTAGGCAATGGAGTGACAGCCCTGTCTTAGGCTGGAGCAATAGTGACAGAGTTAAGGCCTGATTTGTCCTTTTCTCTAACTGGGCTAGTGCTTTTGACTATGCTCCCTTGAATCTTGCTATCTATGAACTAGAACAAGTGTTCTTTTTTTTTCCTGAGACACAGCCTCACTCTGTTGCCCAGGCTAGAGTGCTGTGGCATCAGCCTAGCTCACAGCAACCTCAAACTTGTGGGCTCAAGCAATCCTTCTGCCTCAGCCTCCCAAGTAGCTGGGACTACAGGCATGTGCCAACCATGCCTGGCTAATTTTATATATATTTTTAGTTGTCCAGCTAATTTCTTTCTCTTTTTAGTAGAGACGGGGTCTCGCTCTTGCTCAGGCTGGTCTAGAACTCCTGAGTTCAAATGATTCACCCGCCTCGGCCTCCCAGAGTGCTAGGATTACAGGCGTGAGCCACCACGCCCAACCTAGAACAAGTGTTCTAAGCAAAACTAGAATGGTAACTAAGTCCCCAGTTCCTGAAATTCAGTTTCCTGAATTTCAGAGGGGAGAATTTCCTCAATTTCTAAAGTTTAAAAAGCA